CAGTGAAAACGAGAACGTTAGCAAACATATTCCTCCTCCATTTCCACAGAACTTACCTGTTCGTCTAATCAGGTCGGGCTGCGCAGGTCATTTAGGACATGTTTGCAATTGGGACCGGTTCCGCTTGGAAGCAGGCGGCTCTGTGGAAAGGGACCTTCGCGACTGGAGGGAAGACTGGACTGGTGCTCGTGTGTGACGTGCTGCTCTGATCCCTGACCTGGCCTCGTGCCTCCTCTTCCTACAGGCACAGCTGTGCCTTTTCAGCCGGAGCTGGAGCACTCGGTATCCTCCTCACGGGTTGCAGTGCGTGCTCGGGCAGGCTGGTCTCCAGGAGCCCTGGACTGTGAATTGCTCAGCCACTGACCATTTAATTGGTTTCATCCTGGTCTCTTAAAAAAGTGACCATCCTGAAGGGCACGTCTAGCATGGTTATTTGTAGATAGTGCAATGGGATGATTAACTGGTGGGAAGCAGGACGCCTGGGACTGCCGCGGTACCACCACCACTTGTCGTGTCTCCTAATTGTGCAACGCTGTGCTTCCTCTTCCGAGGCGTGCTTGTCTCAGATCCCTGTGCGCGCTGTCAACAGCTCCTGGGAGGGACTGCGGCTCACACCTTCCTCTTCCTTAGCATCTGCGACCATGTTTTATATTTGGCTGAATCTCAATAAATATTTTATGGATGAATTAATGGTTACCTTGTAAAAGTGTCTACTCAGCCATAGAAACTGGCTTGCCTCCATGGGCTGGGCATATCCTAGGGGTGTCAGAGCCCGAGAGTCTCAAAAGGGGAATTTAAATAAAGTTTGTTTCTTGATGGTCTTGTCTTTGGCATTTAATTTTAGGTTTTAGGCCTGACTACAGAAGCCATAAGGATTAGTTTCAAATAATCCTGACAGTTGAGAGCTGGAAGGATCTCAGATGATGAGTCAAGGGTCCAGATTCAGAGCTGGAGGACCTGGGAGGGTGAGCCTGGTCCCAAGGCTCAGACTCACGTGTGTCCAGGAGATGAAGAGCCTGGACCCATCCCTTCCCTTCCTTTCTGGGGCTCTAGCCTCAAGTGGGCAATAACACAGCTGAGCCTGTCTCCTCTCCTTTTAGTACTGACTCCGTGGTGGCTTTTTACTGGAGATAGCTAAAAATAATATAATTTCAGTATACTATTTTAAAAGTATACTAATCAAAACCCCAGGCACATGACAAAATACCCGTGTGGTCAGGAGTGTGTGTGAATGTCAGTGTGTGTGAATACCAGTGTGTGAGTCCAGAACGCAGGGTCCCGTTCATCCTAACCCTCTATGTGAAAGAGCCAATAGGTCCTACCTGCCTCCAAATTGTGAGGAATAGGAAGGAATACACCTGAAGGAAGTACCTCAACTTTAGAAATTAATTCTATCATCCATAGGAAGAACGTTACATGCTTAGTATATATGGCAATTTAACTCTGTAATTTCTCCTTTTTGTTTATTTCTAAACCAAAACCCTGTACTAAGCAGCTCTTACCTGGGGCATCTGCCCACAACCCTGACCTGTTTTCTCCACGCGAGCTGGCAGACGAGGACAGCTGACCCCTAACAGGAGTCTTTCTTTGTTTCTTAAGTTATTTTGATTAAGTGTGGCTAATGTTGGCAAATATAAAGCTCATTTAGAACTGAGAATTTCTCCCTTCTTGATTTCTTGATCGGTTGTATTATAGAAAAATGTGGAAATGACCTGAAATAATATATCAATATATCAATACCAGATACCAATTCCACAACTTGTGGCAAGTTTAACCTTGAAAATAAAATTTAAAGAAGTTCTCAGTACGTGCATTTTCTTTTTCACAAACTCCTTTTAATCGCAGGTCGATCTTAGTTTCCATATTTCCTGTCTATTTTTGCTACTCTATTTAGAGTTCTAAGTTTTAACCTCCCTGCAAGAAATACACTAGAGTTCTTCTTGGGAGAATTGTGGAAGGGGTGTAAACATTGGCTTATGTTTCTTCTTTTCTGGGGTTAGTGGGTTTTTTCCTGTTGTCATCTCTTTGGGGACAGTCAAGTACTGGGCTAAATTTTCATTATTATTCAAAACGAAGGATTTTTTAATTGATAAAAAGCTTAACTTGCCCCTCAACAAAATGAGTTTTGCTAATTAAAAGGCTCTCATTTGAAGTCATTGTTAACACCTGTCAAATACCAACCAAACATCTGAGTGTTTACCGTTGTGTTTCGTGTTTGTCCTGTTTCCTCTGAAGGAATGGATGCTGGTACTGTGGTTGCTCTGTGTGCAAAGCGCCACGTTCCTAGAAGAGTGCTGTTCATCAGCGGAGCTTGAAAACATGTGGGAGAACTCAGGAGAAGAATGAGTTAAAACCGAAAGAAAAAAAGAAAAAGAAAATCCTGCCCCCCCCCACATAAGTTTTAAACCAAATTAAAAATAATATTTAGTCGTCTGAATACTGGTAAAATATTATTCAGTGACCTAACTGAAACTTTAGAGTAAATCAGTGAGAATTAACACAATTACTCATATAACTACAGTGTAAACTAAGACGATGATAATTTTAAAAATCAAATCTAATTGACAGTTGTCACTGAACCTTATTCCTTCAATGGCAGGCTAGCCTGTATTATGCTGCTTAATTCACTCTAAATTAAAAGTAAACTCCTATCCCCCAAAGATAAAATTATTTATAGTGCAAGTAAGGATTATTCTATTTCCTGAGATGTGTGGGATTTCTTCTACACAGTTTTGATGCCTTCTGGGAAAAGATCCCCAGAGCACCATGGCAGAAATCTTTCCTGGTCCAAACCACCCCTTATCACCAGGGAATACATGTGCTCACGCATCCATCCCATTGCTTCCTTAAATGGGTCATGTGAGCAAGAAATCAGGTTGTGTTAGTAACTGTTAAGAGATGTATATGCTGAATGTACTGGTACTGAGTTTGGAATCTGCAGATACTAATTACTGTGTATAAAATAGATAAACAGCAAGGTCCGACTGTGTAACACAGGGAACTATATTCAGGATCTTGCAGTAACCTATAACGAAAAAGACTGTGAAAAGGAATATACATATGTTTATGTATCACTGAAACATTATGCTGTACAACAGAAATTGACACATTGTGAAATGACTACTCTTCAATAATAAAAGATCTTTTAAAGATACTGAAAATAGAGTTAAAAATTGAAAAAGTTCAAGCAAAAACAGATACTTTCGTTGAATATACTGATCAAGAGACTATGTTCCCAAATAGTAAAACAAAAATATTATTAAAATATTTTAGATACAAAGGTTAATAAATATATTATAAATCATGTATTTCATAAACACGTGGCAGGTTCTGTAGATTTGTGAAAAATCTTACCATGAAGACTTTTCACTGCCAGGAGCAAATGCGAGGTGGTTTGTTTCACAAAAAACGTGATTTTAGGCACCAGGCTGGATGGCTTTAAAAACACTCTCCACATGGTCCCTCACGATGTCTGAGGCGGTCAGACCTGAAACCCAGGGTGTGAGCGCTGTGTTCTGTAGATGGGGCTTAGAGCAAATGCTTGGGGCGTTTCTGTTAGCATCGCTCATCTTTACGGACCCCCGTGCTGGGTGTTCCCTTGAGCACTTTATACCTCACTGTTTCTTACAAAGGCGCTGAGGTCGTTAGCACTGTCTCCATTTTACAGGCAACCATAGCTGAGGCACAGGGAAGTTCAGCGACTCGCTCTCTGTCTCAGAGTCACCTGGGAGATCCAGGACTCCAGATGGAGCGACTGGGCTCAGGGTGAGGTCACCATGGGGCTTTCTGTCTGTGGAGCAGGGTAGTTACTTCCGGAGGCAGCGGAGGCCAGGGAGGGAGGGGCGGTGGGTGCAGCTAAAGCAAAGCACAAACGGGGAGCTTCCTCCAGGTAACGTTCAGGCTTTCTTTTCTACAGCGTAGAGGAATTCATCCTGCTTCTTTACTTGGAAATATAGACCCTGAGTGGGAAGACATCCTTTATGACCCCAATTTAGCAACAGCCTCAAGCTGTTCCTAACTTCAGATTCTTGCGTGACTGACTCATACTGACAGTGATGAACAAATCTGGGCTGACACTTTACCAAAATTCGGGTTATTTATCTCATTAATATTTTTCTTTAGGCAAAATATATTTGTTATGCCCTTTCTATTTATAAAATGGAAATGTTTCTTTCTTGAGTCAGAGGACCCTCTGCGACAGGCAGCAGAGCAGCAGAAGGCAGGTGGTTTAGATGCCCTTAAGAGGATGCCTTCGCACAGTTTGAAAAGTGCAGTCTCTTTGTCAAAAGACGTTAAGTCTGATTCGGGCAGTGCTCCCTGTTACCACTTTGGTCCTCGGCACAGAAGTGGCCTGCATTTCTAAAGCAGGGCTCCTGCCACGCGCGCCACAGTCCCACACACAGCTCCTGAGAGTGGGGATGTGACCAAGCTGCCGCACTGGGTTCCTTTCTACTGACCAAGCTTCTCGAGGCGTGAGATTGAAGCTGCAATCCAGCCCCAAAGCAGAGGTCTGGGCTGCTGGCACCACAGCTGTTTGTTCTTCTTTCAATAACTCCCTTCATGGGCCACCTTATGGAGAATGTTGTCAATAAGCCATGGCTGGTGATCTGTCCCTTCCATCAGGAGGATTCAGATATACTGAAAATCCAAAGATGAACCCTGAATATACCTTTAACAAAGTCTGAGCATCGTCTAACAAGCACCCTCCTGGCAGGCTTGCTGCTTCACCCGAGGTGTGGGCTCGCCCATCCTGGTCTGAGTAGGTCCAAGTGCAGAAGGATTTGAGGGAGATTCGATTTTCTTAAAAAAGGCAACCATTCTTGAAAAGGAACATTCTCGAAAGAGGAAGTTTGTGGTGAGGCTTTATGACAAGTTTAGGTGTCCAGATGTCTCTTGTGACAAATGTCAAATTTATCTCCATTACCTCTGACGAGTTAGCAAGAGCATTTTGTAGATCTGAAGACATGACCTCAGCTTCACCTGCTTTACAGGTAAATGCTGGAAAGCAGAGGCCAGGGACTGCTGTTCTGAAGCACTTCCTCCCCAGGCCCAGCACGATTCCTTGGCTTCTCCCCGACTGCAGTCTTTGAGAACTGAAGATGGTAATTATCATCCTCGGAGACGCCATGTTCAGAGGACCCGCAGGGTCCTTGTGACGTGGGTCGTGTCTTCAGGCATTTTAACCAAGCCCAGGAGGAGGCTGGTGACATCCCTAATTCGCGGGTTGGGTCAGGCACGCTCCTGGGCCCTTGGTGTTACGTCCACGTGTCCCGTGCTTGCTTCTCTGTTGTTCACAGTGTCAACTGAAATAAAATGCACAACCTAAAAGTTGCGACTTTATTCAGTAGACTTTCTGAGTACTCAAGCCCCCGGAGGCAGCCTCTCAAATCCCACGAAGAGACTGTCCACCCAGGCAAGGGCGGAGTCAGGATATATAGAAGTTTTTGCAACAAAGACTAGGTAGTCAGAACATCAAAAGATTACTGTTAATGGAAGAAAACCAGACATCTCAAGTTAAGGAATTTAGCTCTCTTCTATGGCTGGGCAAGTCTGGGCCCACTGAGATCATTCCTTTGAGGCACACCGAGCTCTCTAGGGCCAGTGTCCTGTTCTTCCACATCCTGAGTCCCCTCAGGGGTCATGGCTGGGGGTGGCAGCAGAGGCTGGGGCTCCTGCTGGTCTGTGCCCTGAGTTCCCTCCGCTCACCGTCCGGGGTGGCAGTAGCGGCGATGACCTGATGGCTGCAGTGTCCTTTATGCACTGATGTGGCTGCAATACCTATCATTCACAACAGCCACACACACGTCACAGCACTGGTCGCACTGGCTCTGGTGTGTCAGTCAGTGAATCAGTAGGCGGTGGACCAGGTGGGGGCGTGTTCAGCTGCAAGGTGAGGTGCTAAGGCTCTATGGCTGAGAGAGGCCAAGGCTCTGCTCCAGGGCTGAGAGGAAGGGAGGGGAGGAGCTGGGGGCAGAGGAGGGAAGGCAGGGCCTCTGGCGGGGGTGGGGAGCTCTCAGGTAGGAGTGTGGGGTCAGCGGGCCTTGTGTGGGGGAGGGGAAGGGATGGGCAAAGGTCAGAGCAGTGACTGCCTTGACCACCAGGTTAAAATGTGGTTTTGTAAGCTGGCGAAGTGTGACCCCATGCAAAGCCGACCCTGGGAAGCTCAGCTTCACTTCCGGTGACCCTCCCAGGACACAAGGCCTGCAGGCGGTTAAAATAAATTCCAAATTACAAGCAGAGTAAATGTCAGAAAAAAATCCTCATTTACAAATTGGAATGAAAAAATAATTCTTTCTACCATGGTACCAAGGCCTCGAATTTGTAACCTGCAAATTCCTTTTTCAAAAAGCACTTGCGTTTATTCCGAGTCCATAGGGGATGCCAGGCCTGTGCTAAGAGTGTGTGACCAGGGAGGAAAGCAGTGAGTTAATCCTCCTCCCGGAGGCCCAGTGACCAAGCCTTCCTGAGGGGAGGACCCCTGCAGAGCCCAGGGTTGGGCAGACGTGTCTCCCATTGGGCAAAAGCAGTAAATCTGGCTCAGAAAGCTGTGTGGCTGCAGACGCCGAGGAACCTCAGTGCCTGAAACCGGAGCTGCCAGGATGGCGAGATATCAAGCATTCCTTTCCATGACTTCTTTATACAGATATAAACTGGCCGACCAACCCGTTGAACTAGGGTCCCAGTAAATAGCCTGTATCTTCAGTCGCATGGAGGAGATGCTCTTTGAAAAGTTATATTCGACCAGATTTTGCATTCTCTGTTGTATCCAAATGCGCAAAAGGGAGGTTAAAATCCTAATTGGAAATGCTTTCTGTAAAATTCCTCCTCAGTGATAAAGTTAGGTAACCTTATTCTTTTCACAGACCATTTTTCCTTCAAGATCACACAGGGGTTTCCAGATACATTGTCTTCACTCTCAAGTGTAAATCTTTGGTGCTGGACTGAAGACAAGACTACAGCGAATGAGAAGAATGTGCAGATAATAACCACCCACAAGAAGACAAAGGGATTCGCCTTGAACTGAAAAGATTAAAGAGACTAGACTCATTTACTCCTAAGAGAATGGTTATTTAATGACAATCTTCATATGTACACATGCATGGTTGCCACACAGGAAATGGCCAGTAACTGTTTTGTGCCTTTATGTGAAAAAAGTAAAAGGAAGCAGTGAAACCGAGCGGCAGCAGAAAGGATTGAGTTCAGACTTGAAGCAGGACCTTGAGTGAGGGCTGACTGCGTGCGGAGGGCTCGGAGTGCCTTCTGCAGAGGCGGGGTGAGGCGGGGCAGGCCACTGTCTGCTGGCCTGCTTCAGACGTGGTCTTGTCTGACGGCAGCACCGATTCAGTAAACTCAAGTATTTGCTCAGGCTTCTGGTACTTTAGTTTATTCTATTTTATGTTATTTTGGCATTTAAATTTGTGAAACAATACTAGATAGCATTAGAGCATGGGAAATACACAGTCAGCGAGAACCACTAAAAAAATTCACTTTTGTATATGGTTGGTCTGAGAAATTCTCTTCCATTTATACCACGCAGGTAACCCCTCAGATAAGTGGCATTTTCAGATTTTCTTTTGAAATGATTTTTTAAAAATGATATCCTAAAAGAAATTGGGAGAACGATGAATTAATTAGTTGGCATGTTTGACTCCTTAAAGTAAATAATATTTCAAAATAGAATTTTGGACAGTAATCGTTATTACTACAATGGAACGCTTGGGATAAAATTTAGAGTAACATGTAAGTAGATGACAAGGCATTTTTTAATGACTTGTTTTTAGAGCAGTTTCAGATTTGCAGGAAAACTGTGAGGCTAGCACAGAGGGCTCCCAGGCACCTGGAACCCAGTTTCCTCTAGTAATGATGTCCTACCTAAGTTTGGTGCATTTATAACAATGAACCAATCAACACCGACGTATTAGTGTTATCTAAAGACCATCTCATTCAGATTTTCTCAGTTTTCATCTAATGTTCTTTTTCTGTCCCAGAATCCCATCCAGGACGCCACGTCATGCCTGGTTGTCACGTCTCCTTAGGCTCCCCTTGGCTGTGACAGTTTCTCACTTTCCCTGTTGAGATGATCTTGACAGTTTTGAGGAGCACAGGTCAGGTATTTTGGAGGCTGCTTCTCAAATGGGGTTTGTCTGTTAGTTTTTCTCATGATTAGCCCAGGGTTACAGCTTTTGGGAGGACGGTCACAGGGGTAAGGTGCCATTTCATCACCTCACATCCTGGGCGCATACTGTCAACATGACTAATCATGGTCATGTTGACCTCCATCACCTGGCTGAGGTCACGTCTGTCGTGTTCGTCCACCGCAGAGTTCCTCTTCTTTTCCTTCCCCCTTTTGGCGGAAGTCACGACACGCCTTCAGTAGCAGGATGTGACGCACTGCCTCCTCCGGAGCAGGGTGTCCGTGTAAATTACTTGGAATTCTGCCTGGGAGGTGTGTTTCTTCTATCTCATTTATTTATTAAATCATGTATTTCTATCAAAATGGACTCAGATATTCATTTTACACTTTGAGTTATAATCCAAGAGCAGGAACAGTGTGAACAACTTCCGCTCAGATTGCAGAGCTGTGGCCGCTGGAGCTCTGCAGGCTGGCTTCCTGCGTCTTTGATGTTCCCTGGCCCTCAGTTTACTCTGGACGCCCCTTACTTTATGGCAGTTCAGGATATTTGACTCATCTTATGTTTCCTGCCTCGGTCCTAGAACCAGAAACTTCTGCAAGTATCACTGGTTCCTTTTATTGGAAAATGGTACTCGGAAGCAGGCTGGGTACCAGGTGTGCTCACTGCACTGTGCACTGTCACTCCAGGGCCCCGAGGTGGCAGAGGAAGGAAGCATGTCTGTGTACTAATTGCTGGTGCCCATGTACTTATGAATATCCGTGTATAGGGCCACGTGTGTCCACATTCAGGTAAATACGACTTCACTCCTATGTCTCTGACTCGGGGCTGTTGCCACGGGGATCGTTACAACCTCCTCCCTCAGCTTACCTGTAGACTCCGCCCCTGTGGGGGCGCTGGCTCCCACCACCACCGCTCACTGATTCACCGTTCAGCGCCAGTGCACACGCGTGGCGGTGTCAGCTGTGAGCCAGGCGCGGTGGCAAACCCCCGTGAGAGCCCAGGGCTGAGGGGCCGCTCCCTCGGCCTCCCGTCTCACCCAGCCCGCGTGCTTCCAGAGTCACTGGGGTCAGTGCCTCTGCCCCCAGCCCCCTCACTGAAGTAGTTTCATTCATTTGTAATAGTGTTTCCCCCCCTTTCATATTCTATCCTGGTATCCACCAAACTCCTGAGCAATTTTTAAAAATTAGATGCATTAAGGTCACACTTAGTGCTGTAAACATCTGTGGGCTTTGATAAGCACCACGTTCTAGAATTACATTATCACACAGAACCGTTCTGGCCTGGAGTGTTCCCGGCGGGCACCTTCTCAGAGCTTCACCTCTTCCTCCACACTCACGGCTCCTGCTGGTCTTCTAACTGTTGCTGTAGTTTTGCCTTTTTTGAAATGCAGCTGAATTGAAATAACATGGCATGCTCCTTTTCCAGACTGGCTTCTTTTGTTCAGCATACGAATTTAAGACTCCTCCCTGTGTTTTCATGACTTGCGACCTCAGTTATCTCTACAGCTGAGCCATGCCCCTTACACGGAGGCGCAGAGTTAGCTGATCCATTCACCCGCTGAAGAACACCCTGGTTACTCCCGGTTTTGGTGACTGGGAAGAAAGCTGCTGTAACAATCATGTGCAGGGTTTTGTGTGGATTCTTTGTATATTTTGGACACGAGCCCTTTGTCAGATGCATGCTTCACGACTCTTTCCTCCCAGTGTGTGACCAAGCACACGGGCACCTGCGTTTTCTCCTATGTTCTCTTCCCGAAGCTTTGCTGTTCTGCATTGTCTTCCACCTCTGTGATCCATCTGGAGTTAATTTTTGTGAAAGGCATAAGATCTATGTCTAGGTTTTTTTGTTTTTTTGTTTTTTGTTTTTTGCACAATTGTTGCAGAACCACCTGTTGAAAACCAACAGGTTTACTTTTATAATCCTGTTCAGTAAATGCACTTTTCTACTTCTTAGAACCCAACTACCATTTCGGAAGAGAAAGGCATCTTGGCAGAAGAGGATTCCTTCTGGTCAACTGGCTGGAGCCTGCCGCTCTCAGCTGCTCCTTCCGGGTGCCCGGGAGCGGCAGCTGGGGCCGTGCCGGCCGGGGGAGCGCGTGCCACACTCTGAGTCCAGCTGGTTGGGTGCCTCTGGGCTGTCGGGGCCACGTTAACTTTCAGTGTTGACTAGTCCAGGAGGGTGTGTTGAGTAAGTAAAGGAGGCGGCTCAGGGAGCAACCCAGAGCCTGGGGAGTGGGGTAAACTCCCGCCGCCCTCTCCTGCTCTTGGACGGTGGGGCTGATGGCTCTCAGGGCCGCTGTGGGGGAGCTCACCCCTGCAGTAGGACGGGGTCCCAGAATTCGAGCCTGGGAAGCGGCCTGTGCTCAAGGCAAAGATCCAGGTTTCATCCTGCTTGAGCGGAAGGGCACGATTAGAGGAGAAAAATGGCTGCACTGAGGACAGAAGACAGAACTGCACTTCACCTGGGTCTGCCTCGCAGTTAATCGCTTCTCAGGAGGGACAGTAAGCCTTTCTGCCCGGCAGACAGGCTCGAGCTGTTTCAGCCCAGCGTGGGCTGCGGAATGGAGTCGGTGATTAGATTTTTGCATTAGTCATAGAAAGACAAGGTGCGTATTATTTTCCCCTGCGTTTCCTCATGAAATATAAACTATCCTTCCACGGGGTATTTGCTTAACCAGGTCATAGGAATTCTTAATTTCGAAAGAGGAAGAAACGGCTCCTGAGAACCAGGACCAGCACATCTGAGACCTCTGCAGGTGCTTCTCGTCCACAGGAGACACCTGTCCCCCTGCCCCTCAGCAGCATCTTCACTCTCCTGGGCCAGCCCTCCTGGCCAGCACCCATCTTCAGCTCGGAGACGAAGTCTGTGACAAAGCATTACTGTGAACTTTTGGTTTCAGAAGAAGACTGTGCATTCGTATAGACAGTAAAAGTGCCATTGGTTTGTTTTTAATAAGCTTCAAACATAATCATCCAAATGATGTTCTGCAAAATAACTGGAACTAAATTATTCAATACATTTTTAGGTGTTTGCTTGTATTTAAACTTGTCAAAATTGATAACTTAAAAGTATTATGGATTCAAGGAATGTTCCACACTGTCCTCAACTCTTGCTTTCAGACTGATTTTTACATGTGGAAGTGTTTTAAAAAAAATTAAAAAGGGCTTACCAAGAAGGCCTTCCTAACTCTGATGAAACTCTGAAATGCTAGCACCCTTGTCATGTGTGTAACTGAAAGGTGAAAAGGGCCCTCCTTGTTTCTGGTATATTTTTAAAAATCTCATGTCGGTTGCATTTTGTTTGTTCTGTGTTCACTACTTTGGTGCCCGGGATGTGAGTGCGTGTGGCCCAATTTCCTTGCAATCTGCACCTTTTGGTTGGCTGTTTCTGAAAGTAGTTATCAAGACCCGAGAAGTTTTCTAAGGGTCTCTTGTTGGAGAAAGATGTTCATCTCATAGAAAGTAGGGAAATTTCTCTTTTACAGAAGGTATGGGCCCATCTTGAGATTTACAAAGCATTAACGTCTCTGTAAAAATCTATAAAGCGTTCATAGACGAAGCTGTTTTTGGTTAGCAGCTCATTAAATCTTGATTTCTATGCACCCTTTGAGATGCTTGCAGTGTAGTTCTTGGTCTTGTATTAACACACAAACTTCACTTACTGTGTGCCAGGTACCTTCAGAGCATCACTGCTTATTGCTCAAGACAATTCTGAGACTGAAATGGCTGGACTTTCACTTACAAATAAATAATAACCTCCTGTAACGCACTTCAGGCTGTCTCTTAATTTCCTTTCCAAGTAGGCATGTGGTTTTAAACTTAGCTCCTTGTCAGTCTTGACAGGCAGTATTCACATGACTCGAGTGTGTCCCGGCTCCTGACCTCAGAGAGGACATCAGAGGGGCAGTGCCGTGGACCGCTGGAGCAGGGCCGCTCTTCAGAGCCTGGCTGAATTTCGGTGTTTGGCCAGCTTGCTCATCAGAGACCGCTGTTTCCAGCTGCACTGCAAGCTGTCCCAGAGTTTAATTCCCTGCTTATTTTTTTTTTAGAAATCGTCCAACCAAGCACCTCAGTAATGTGCCAAAGTATGAGGGTGACTTCACACCTCAGCTGATTCACATCTGCAAGGAGAGAAAACAATTGGCAACTGAATCCAGGCTCACAAATTCCCCCGGCTTGTCAGCCCTCCCGGGGACTGCGGTGCAGACCCTGAACTGCCGAGAGAGAAGTAGGTATGAAATGACACCCGAATGCAGTACGCTACATGTTTATCGATTTGTCTGTTGACACTATGTTTAGAGAGAGGTTTTATACAGCTCATGGATTAAATCAAATTTTTCTACAAAGCACCTAAGCAGAAAGATGACGCGTGTGCAGCACTGACGCTGTGTGGCGCGTTCACCTTCACCGGGCACCACGAGGAAACACCTTCAGCACGTGTACAGTCGTTAGCCCTGTCGTTGCTGTTAGCTTTCCAAAGACATCAGATTCAATGGCAGAGTCTTCACTGACATTAGTCTTTAAGGGTATCCTTAAATAAAACGTGCTGCCAGAAGAACATAAAGATCTATCAAGCACTCAGCACACAGCAGGCACTAGTCTAGAATTTGAAGGTGCATCGGGGGACAAGACAGGACAGGCAGAGTCTTGGCTTCTGTGGAGTTTGGGCTCTTTCCTCGCTCTCCCTCCCTCTCCCCCTCTGTATGAGGTTAGTAACCTGATGAGCACGCCTTTTTGTATAAAATTAGATTGTGGTAAGCGCTGCCCAGAGAATTAAAACTGGATTGCTTGACGGGGAGTGACACCGTCTCCTCTACAGACTGAGGAGGGAACCCCTGGCCTCGTGCAGGCTGCGCACCGCGCGGTCTACTGCAGGCTGGGTGGTCGGGGAGGGGGTCTGTGGGCACATTCAAGCCCACTGAGACACAAAGAAGCCAGGAGCGTGAGGATCGGCACCTGGATCTAGAAGACCGTTCGGGGCGGGAGCGACAATGAGTCTGCAAGTCCCAAGGCCAGAGTGAACTTGGGGGAGAGCAGATGGGCAGCGGAAGTGTGTGCAGAGAGCAGGTGATGGCGGGGGTTGACAGGGCGGGGAGAGGAGAGGGAGGGGGCGCCATGCAGACACTCGCTGGGGTGTGTGTTTGACACCAGGCGAAGCGTTTTGCCCCCAGGAACTTCTGTCATCTTCCTCGCAGCCTGTGCAGTGGGCACTGGCCCCATCCCCGTTCGTGTGAAGATGAGGGACCCTGACTCAGAGTGTCACAGCTGGGCTCGGGGCGCACGGCGCTGCATCCGCAGACACTCAGGGCACGAGCGTGGACTCCATCCGAGGTGTGCGGAGGGGTTGTTCTGGAAGGCTTTACAGGAGGGCCATTTGATCTGCCCTGCACTGCAAATGGTCAGTCAGGGGAAGGAGGCAGACAAGTGTGGTTGCAAAAGGACTTCTTGGGAGGCAATGGTGGAGTCAGGTTTGGGGTCATGGGGTCCGGTCCCAGCATGGCCATGGTCGCAGTGCATGTGTGACTGGGTTTGAGGTGTGTTTTGGAACAAAGCCAGTAAGATTTGCTGATGGAGTCAGTGTGAAGGTAAGGGAGAGAATCAAAGACAACTCCTAGCTGTTCGATTTAAGTAAGAAGAGTATGAGGAACATCTGTGATGATCAGGGTAATTGTACGTGGCGGGCATTTGGTGTTGCCTGCGTGTGCCGGACCCTGTTGAAAGCACCTGTACCCGTGCTGTGCTGAGTCCTCAGGGCACCTCTGCGCAGGTGCGTTATTACCTCTACACCTCACAGATGCAGGCACTGGAGTTCTGAGGGAGTGAATGGCTTGCTCAAGGTCGCACAGCTGGTTAAGTGACGACCCAGCCTGCTCGGCCGTGCGATCTGCCCACGTAACGCCGTCCTCTGTGGACCCTCCTTTGCTAGCAGGGGGCTGGGCTTTTCCTCTGGGGAGGGAGGAATTCAAGAGTCCCGTCATGGGCTCTGATAACTTGGCGAGGGCCTAGAAAGCCCGTGTGAAGGTGAATCAAGCCACTGGAAAGAGGAATTTGAAGTTCTGCTGAGAAGGGAGGGCTAGTGACCCAGGTTTGGACGTTATGAGCGCGTAGATGGTGCCCACAGAACAGCCTGTGACAACAACAGCTGACACGTCGGGGCCCCTCCCGCAGGGGCGGCTGCGAGGGCTTCGCGCACGCTGGCCGACTCAGGTCTTCAAGCAGTGGCCTGAGTCAGGCCTGTTCGCTAACTACTGTCATCCTCATTTCCTTTGGTAGGTCAGGAAACTGAGGCTCCAGGGCCTTATGCCCGAGGTCAGTCAGCCAGGAAAGGTGACTTTCATTGTGCCGACCGAGGTAATTCAAGTTTCATGCTTAGAATATAGCAAGCACTCAGAACTGTGAGGTACTATGAGTGGCGGTAACTGCTGTCGTCTCGGTGGTGATGTTTTTACGTGTTTTGGCAGAGCCCAGCTCAGGACCCAACAGATGAGCCATACATAAACTGTGTGATGAAAGCCTCAAGTTGGTGAAGAAAAAGCAACAACAACAAAAAAGGATTCATCTTTCAATATGAAAAGAACCCACGGATGTGCACCTTGGAAAAGGGGTCATTCTGAGACAGAAGAAGCAGGATTTGGTAAAAATGATGGTTTAGGACCAGACTGCTCTGTGCTGCGGCCCCACACACTTGCACACTCACAGGCAGACGAGTGGAATGAAAGCATTTTCTCAGTTCTTACAGTCCAGACCATTGTCTCGCCTTCCTCTGCGCCTTCCTCTGTGCCTTCCTCTGCGACTCTGGACGCAGGTCTCTCGCTGACTTTTCCTTAAGCCCCACGGTGTCACGACCGCCTTCAGCAGAGGTGGGATTTTAGAATTGGAAAAAACAGTTTCCCTCGAGGGTCGAAGTCAGTTTAACCTGGGAAGTTACGTGGCGTGCTGGTGACAAAGGACACTTTTCCAGAGCCTTGTTTCTCCGTCTCCCTTTTCTCCCCAAAGAGGCGTTCCTGTTTCTCAGTCCGTCTGGCCCGAGTGTGATGGCGTCCCTGCAGGTGCTCCGTGCTGACACCAGACAGATTTCCCTGGGTGGCGGGGCCGAGGGACCCCCTTTCCTGAGTCATCCAGAGCAAGACAGGCTGTAGCACCCTCTGGGGATACAGCCTGTGAGAAACAAGGTTGCCTAATGACTTGTTGCCCCTCCGTTTTCTGCTTTTCCACGAACGGCTGTACTATGACCGTCATGGTTACAGACGCCATCTTTTTTATATATATCATACTTACTGTTTGGTTCGGATTTCTCAGGGGGTGAGAACGATAGTTTTTTCAAAAAAAATCTTGCTTGGATGCTTTGGGATTTTGCAGCTCAGGGTTCATTTGGCAGAGGTAACATCAGCCTTCTGGCCCACTGTGGATGCGCTGACGCCAGTGAGCCGGAGACGGGAAGGGGCGCGAACCGCACCTACCAGAAGGGCAGGTCGGTGTCAGCTGTGGTTTCAACTGAGGTTACAGGTTCAGGTCTGTACGGAGGAGAGTCTTCATTGCTTTAATTAAAATTTCTTTTTACTGAAATAATACTCATTTATTTTAAAATGTCTATTTTAAAGCATATTTAAAAATCAATACCTTGTGACTATACTACAATAAATAAATTTTAAAAAATGAAAAAAATAAAAAATGAAAACTGTTCAAAACTCAAACAGTTCTTCAAAGCTTGTCTTTCAAAACAGCTGTTTTCTGTCCACCCCTTCCAGCCCCAGAATCTTCCTTCCCAGAGGCAACCGTCTTCATGTCCATCTGATTCTGCCTGGACCTCGTATTCCTGGATACATGTTATGGAAGATGATCAGCTGATCTACACAAACTCTTCACTGCAAGAGGATGTCCATTCCCCATTTTCCCAGCAGAAGTACATTATGTTGAAAACTGTGCTTAAATTAACATTCAGTGTTTACAGTCATGACTGGGTGGAGATTGTTCCAGGCTGAGGCATGCATCCGGGCTTGTGGGCTGTGATGATATCTGACGTCTATGATTTTTGTCTTAGAATTAAAATGTCTTTTAAAAAACCCAGTTGATTATGTTTTGTTTCTTTTATAGCTTTCATAAAAAAACTTTTGGCATTCAGACTGTTTCAGGTATTAAGAATAATGGAACCTCACACCATTTAAGAAATAAAACCTTATAAACACCACTGAAGCCATGGATATGCTGTTTTTTGATCACATTTCCTTCCCTGCCCACTGGAGGAACACACTATGAAATTCTGGGTTATTTGCTAGTCCCATGAAGCATGTGCAGTTTTCCTCCACATGTGTACCTCCCCCAGCAGGAAATGAACTGTTTCTGACTTTGTATGATTGCATCATACTGCATGCAATTTTGTAAGTCTTGTTTTCCCCCCATCAGTGGGTTTTGAGATTTCTAATGCATGTGGCTCTAACAAGTTCATTTCATTACATAAATATCCCATCTTGTATTGATCTACACACACAATGTGCTTATTCTCATTTCTCTGATTGGCATTTAGTTTATACTCAGAAGTTAACTATAAAAATATTGCTACAAGAGTTCTAGTACATGCCTCCTTGACTGCAAAGACAGGAATCTTTATAGTATTTACACCTAGAAGTGGAACCGATGCAACATTATCGACTAAAACCTCCTCCTTCAGCTGTGACAGACAATCCAAGCTGCCCTGCCGAGCAGTTAAGGCAGTTCACAACCCCACTAGCAATATGAGAAGGCACCAACTGCTTTTTTTGCAGGATTAAAGGCATTTCTTATTTCTTTAAATTGAAGTATAGTCAGTTTACAATGTTGTGTCAGTTTCCGGTGTACAGCACAATGCTTCAGTCATACATACACATACAGATATTCATGTTCATATTCTTTTTCATTACAGGTTACTATAAGATATTGAATACAGTTCCCTGTGGTATACAGAATACACTTGTTGTTTATCTGTTCTACGTATAGTAGTTAGGATTTGCAAATCTCAAGCTCCCACTGTATCCTTTCCCACCCTTTCCCCCTCCTGGCAATGTATGTATTCAATCTACGAAGACTGAATAAAAGAGAAATAGAAAACCTTATCAGACCAAATAACCAATAAGGAAATTGAATACATGATGAAAATCTTCCAAGCTAAAAGAGCCCAGAAGCACGTGCCTTCCCGGATGAACTCTCCCAAACATTAACAAGATGAATTAAATACTAATCTCTCTTAAACTCTCAAAAATAGGAGGGAAAACTCTCAAAACTCTTTTTACGAGGCCAGCATCACACTGATGTCGCTCTGACGAACCTAAAATCATCCAATCCACAAAAGTGGAGCCTGGCATGGTGTTTACCAGGGGCTCGAGGAGAGGGAAATGGGGGCGTCCTTGTCAAGGAGCACCAGATTTCACTCATACGAGAGGAGTAAGTCCCAGCGCTCTGCACAGTGCAGCATCTCTAGTTAACAACACTGCGTCGTGCACTCAAGAACTTACTGTGGGTAGAGCTTGTGTTATGTCTTCTTATCACAAAATGCTAATACTAATGATGCTGATAGTGATAGTAGAAGAAAGAAGAGGAGGAGGAGGAAGAAATGGAGGTGGGGGAGGGGAAAAGGAGGGCGGGAGGAGACTTTGGGGGTGATGGGGGGCTCTGTGGCGTAGACTGTGGTGTGGTCATCTCCAAACTCGTCAAACTGTGTATATTAATTGTGCACAACTTTTTCTTTATCAAAAAATAAAAGGAATGGAATTTCTTTTGAAACATGCTTTTCTATAATAGCATTATAATTAAGGGTGTGTGTGTGTAATAATAATAGTAAATATATTGTGCTAAGGTCATTTTCCATTTGATTTTCTGGCTACTTCATAGGTTTTGCTCATTCTATTTGAGACAGGGAGCACAAAAAATACATTATTTTCATATATTTAAATACGAGCAGAATTAAGTTCATTATACAAAGTGAAAAGCATTGGCAGGCAGCTGTGTTTGGTAACCTTTGTTTATAATAAAGCTATTGGTCAGAACCGTTGTTGTTTGGGGAGAATATCCTTTAGGAATAATATGAAAAACACCTCTGTTCAAAAGCGGATCTGTCTGAATGTCTTTGATACATTTAAACATCTCGAATAGATCAATCAAAATAGAAAAGTGTCAAAAAAGTAGTGGAGAGAGGTCGGCCGGGTTCCTCACAGCCGGAGCTGCAAAGCAAACCCCGGGACTGCACCGCCAGGCGTCCGCTTCTGTCTCACAGAGGCAGGCAGGTAGAGCAGTTGCAGCAGCTCTAGGTGAAGGTCTCTGCGTGCAGGTGCTCAGCAGAAACGGGCCCTCTAATCGCACATGGCTCTGCCGGGGCAGCTGCGCTTGGACAGTCCGAGCCCGGCGTGTGGGCGGCAGACTCCATCAGCTGCAGCCAGGGGAAGATGGCGGGGGGCTTCACCAGAGTTCCTTGAGTATATATTTCAGCCTCATAAGCGACATTTAAATAACTCCTTATTATGAAAACTTGAGATCTTGGGAAAAAGCAATTTCTTCTTTCTTGCCCAGTGAATTGCACAAGTGGACTCCCCTGCCCTCTGGACCGTGACATTCGATCCAAGTGGGTGATTCTCATGGTCTGAGCCTCTAGAGTTAGTAACAGAGACACCTCTTTCTGTCACTGGTGGTCTGTGGGTATTCCAGTCCACAATTCCAGGGAATACCACCAATGCAAGAAGGAGAACATGACTGGCAAGCAGCATTTCATAAATTACACCAGGATCGCTCAGTAAGAAAAAAAAAATACTTAGGAGGAAAAACTGAGATGGTGAGAAATGAGGATGGAGATAAATAAATATTTTGGGCCTCATGAAGGAAAAGATAAGTCAATTTTTGAAAAAGCAGTCTGAGTACCTAATGTTAGCAAAAAGAGTTAACAGGGGGTGGGTGAGATTTTACAAATATGAAAGGAAAAACGTGTCTGTGGAGGAATGTTAGCTCTGTTGAGCAATTTCACAGCGTTCTTCATCTTCAAAGAATTTTGCATGTTAACTAATTAATCCTTCCAACACCCTTGTGACGTAAACGTGACAAACAAGGGCTGAAGTGGGTCTCAGACGACTGGTCTACCACGCTCGCTGGCTGAGGAAGAGCATGAAGCCAGTTCCTCGGAGGAAGCTCCCCCCGGGAGGGGTTTCACACAGGATGGTGTGTGTGTGGCACGTGTGTTCTTCCCAAAATTGTTTACAGAACTAAAGAGCAAATGATAGATTTTTAAGAAAGAACCCAGCGCTCCTGGAGCTCAGTTGATGCCAGACTAGTGTGGAATTCTCAGACAGCCCACATGCAAGTTGTAAACGCTAGCAGCAGGCAGGAGTTTGCTTTCAGGCGCGGAGCCGATGCATTGTTGAGACACTCAGCACCGACTGTCGGGTACTTCAGCGGCTTAAAGGGAGGCACACTTGCTGGGGGGTCATTCTCTGCCCAGGTCTGCAGCACGTCCTCTGCACACTCCTTCTCATTATCCAAACACTAGGACAAGCATCTGGGGCCCAATTAAATGA